GCTCCATGCCTTGGCCCAAGGTGAGGCTTTGCAAAGGTCTAAGCTAGAGTGTGGGCTTCCCAGGTGGTGCTCGTGGTAAAGGTCAATGCAGGAGATGTAAGAGACCTGGGTTCGATCCTGAGTCGGAAGAATCCTCTGGAGGAGAGGATGGCAACCCACTCCAGTATTCTTGCCTGGGGAATCCCTCGGATGAGGAACCTGGTGGGCTACAGTCCATGGGGGTCACACAGAATCTCAGACGACTGAAGAGACTTGTCACGCACACACGCAACCTAAAGTGTGGGTAAAGGAAGCTGGGAATACGGGACAGAGAAAGGAGGAAGGGTTTGATGAGCAGACCATGTGCTCTCCTCACTTCAAGCCACTAGTGCCCCAGACAGATCTGGCCTGAGCTGGAGTAGTAGGGGCCCCGGCTCTGATTGAGTTCAAACATGGTTCAGACTGGAGGCTGGAATGAGACTTTCTGACAACAGAAAGTTTCGGAAACATTTTGGAATCTCAAAAAGATGTCATTATTGTACTGAATAACCAGTAAGAAAAGAAGGGTCAACATAACACAATTAAGGGGCAGTCATTGGAAAAAAGGAAACTATTTTATGTTTATGCCCCCAATGAATTAATATTTCTCATAAAACTTCAAATCATAGAGCTGGATTTTTGCATAGTTTTATAATCTGATAATATGTCTCGATATTTATTTGGCTGCACCAGGTCTTAGATTTGGCACATGGGACCTTTGATCTTCATTGCAGCACGCGGGATCTTTAGTTGCAGCATGTGAACTGTTAGTTGTGGCATGGAACTCTTTAGTTGTGGCTTGTGGGATATAGTTCCCTGACCAGTAATGGAACCCAGGTCCCCTGCATTAGGAGTGTGGAATTCTAGTCACTGTACCACTAGGGAAGTCCCTGACAATTTGTCTTTAAATGAAGAGCTTATTTTCTTTATAGTGAATATAGATATATTTGGATTTTTTTCTGTCATCTTATTTTGTGATCTTTATTTTACTGTAACTTTGCTTCTTTCCCCCTTTCTCTACCTTCTGTTAGATTAATCAGATTTTCTTTAGTCACCTCTTCTCTCTCTGCTATGAGCCATTCTACCTCTTTCTTTTAGCAGCTATTATGAACATAATAAATATGTATGTTTGACTTACAAAGTCTAAATGTAGTCTCTCTCTCTGCCCTTCTTGTGAGATCACCAGGGCTATGGAAGGCTTTCAATGAAGTTATGCTCCATCCTTCTTACATGTTGTGTGGTATTATAGTTCCATTTGTTTTGTATCTCCTAAACTTGTCTTTATTGTTGTCTTATAAAGTCAATGCACGTTGAGATTTACCCATGATTACTAAATTTATTTTGCTCATCAGTTTTCTTGTGTCCTTCATCTTACTGCATTCAAGTTGCCACTTCTCAAAGGATAGTCCTCAGTAGTTTTTCAGTGAGGTTTTATAATTTTTATCTTCTGAAAATATCTTTATTTGGCTTTGTTTGTGTGTGATAAATTGATCAGAGTGTGAAATCTAGGTTGACAGTTATTTTCCCTCATCACTCTCTAGGTGTTTGTCCACTGTCTTCCGACCTCCACTTTTATCATAGAAGAGTCTGTCAATCTAATAGTTCTTTCTTTGATGTCAGTCTGCCTTTTTCTCTTATTGCTTTTAGGATTTCTGCTTTGCTTTTGGTGCTCTAATTTCACCACAGTGTTTATACGTGTGGATTTACATTTGTGTCTCTTAGATTTGAGGATTTATGTCTTTCATTAATTCTTGAAGAATGTTAGTTATTCTTTCAAAAATATTTATTTTCTTCTAATTTCCTAATTATCTCTTTCTAGATAAGAAAATCTGATTTGATAGATGTGTGGTAGGTGTTCCTAGTCTATGTTCTCAGCATACGATGTGTTTCCATCCATCATTATATCTGTCTTTCATTCTGGGTACTTTCTTCATCTATCTTTCATTTAAATAATTCTTCCCATCTGTGTCTAGATGTGCTGCTTAACCTTAACAAGTCCATTGATTTTTCAATTTTCAAAGGCTCTATTTTCTTCTGTTTTCTTTTTAAAATGTTTGTTTTTAATAGTATCTTGATTTTTCTTGAGGTTTGTTGATTTCTATTAACCTTGCTTTTTCTATGCTGCTTCCTTTTGCCCCCCCCCCTTTTTTTTATAACAATGTATGTTTACTTACTTTTAGTTGCACAGCTTTCAGGATCTTATTTTCCCAATTAGGGTTTGAACCTGCATCCTCTGCAGTGAAAGTGCAGAGACCTAACCACTGGGTGGCCAGGGAATTCCCTGTCCTTAGTTTTTATAAAGTATAAAAGTTTTCACATTCTAGTCTATTTTGAATTATTTTACCTAAATTCAAGTTCTTGGATACTTAACGTTTGCTGTTTTGTTTCCTTTGGATTTTGCAATTTCTGATTGTGAGCTTATATTGAACTGGGTTTGTGGTCTGGATTGTGGGATAGTTCCTCCTGTTTTTGTTTCCTTCAGCCAGAAACCTCAAATGCTTTCATTGGCCTAGGTCCAATTTTAATGTCAATTTATCAGCCCTGAGGGTAATATAAACTTGAATCCCAGTCTCCATAAGGTACTAACTGTGGTTTTGGATTCTCAAGGAAGATATCACCCCATCCGTTACCATCACTCAGAGCTTCAGTTCAGTTCAGTTCAGTCGCTCAGTCGTGTCCCACTGTTTGTGACCCCATGGACTGCAGCACGCCAGGCCTCCCTGTCCATCACCAACTCCCTGAGTTTACTCAAACTCATGTCCATTGAGTTGGTGATGCCATCCAACCATCAGCTAAGGTCAGAGCTTAGCTTGAGATAGAAAGCCTTTTGTCATCTGTGGCAGCCATGGAGTCATGCCACTGAGATCTCTGTTCAAGAGCTTACCATTCAGCTACAAGAAGTGCAGTTAACTGACCAGTTACTAATGTTGTTCAGTCACTCAGTCATGGCTCATGGCCTGCAGCATGGCAGGCTTCCCTGCCCTTCACCATCTTCTGGAGTTTGCTCAAACTTATGTCCATTGAATCGATGATGCCATCCAACCATCTTGTCCTCTGTTGTCCCCTTCTCCTGCCTTCAATCTTCCCCAGCATCAAGGTGTTTTCCGATGAGTTGGCTCCTGGCAACAGGTAGTCAAAGTATTGGAGTTTCAGCTTCAGCATCAGTCCTTCCAATGAATATTCAGGACTGATTTCCTTTAGGATTGACTGGTTTTATCTTTTTGCCATCCAGGGGACTCTCAAGAATCTTCTCCAACATCACAGTTCAAAAGCATCATTTTTGCCCAATACAGGACTCCTCTAATGGGCAATATTTGCTCTAGAATCCTTTGTTCAGTTGGCTGAAACTTTGTCAAGGCTGCATCATGGTCTTTCCTGATGCCCAAACCTGCTTCTTCTCCTCTTTCTTTTCACAGATGCTGGATCTGTGTCCTGGTCTGAGATGTTGCCTGCAAAACCCCGTTTCCTCCTCCTTTTACCTTTATAGGCATCATTCTCCAATAATCCTCTTGTACTTCACACTATGTCTCAGTACCCACTTCTCAAGGCCCCAAGTAATATGTTGTCTTTCTGTGTTAGGATGCATTTTTTCTGAATCATATATTTTCTGAAAATGAGGCCTTGAAGGGACTTTATTTGGAGGTGTTAGTTCCAGCTTCTCACCTTGATGGGCCCAAGGCCTATATACTCTTCTCTCCACCCCAACTCTCGGTATGTACGGCCGCTACTCTCAGGCTTCCAACATGGCTGCTCTCTTTATCTTCATTTCTGGCACAAGATGATTTCCCTTTATTCCTTTTTATATTAGCTCTCTATTTGAAATTACATTTATTATATCCCATCTGGAATTTCTAGGTATTTGTATCAGGAGTGTGCTCAGTATTTTATATTTATTACTTTTTGACCAAAAACTTTAAGATATAAATTATTTAAGTGTATATACTTAATGTCTAAATTGTGCTTTTAAGATTTTTAAATAATCACGTATAAATTGTACAATACTCGGGTGAAGAGAAACTTGATACACAAATCAGGAACTTTGTTTTTACAACTGTCAGGGAATAAAGTTATCTCTATGACTTATAAGTCTATTGCTTCATTTTTATTTTAATTGAAGCATAGTTGATTTACAGTATTGTGTTAGTTTCAGGTGACAGCAAAGTGATTCAGATATTTTTCTATTATGGGTTATTACAAGATATTGAATATAGTTCCCTTTGCTATATAGTAAATCTTTTGCTCATCTGTATTATGTATAGTAGCCTGCATCTGTTAATCCCAGACTCATACTTTCTGTCTTTTCACCTCTTCCCCTTTGGTAACAGTTTGTTTTGTATGTCTGTGACTCCTGTTTTGTAAATAAACTCATTGGAATCATTTTTTTAGATTCCACATATAAGTGATATCATACAGTATATGTCTTTCTCTGATTAGTATGATAATCTCTAGGTCCATCCACGTTGCTGCAAATGGCAGTGTTTCATTATTTTTTATTGTTGTTGTTCAATCGCTAAGTCATGTCTCTTTGTGACCCCATGAACTGCAGCATTCCAGGCTTCCCTGTCTTTCACTATCTCCCAGAGTTTGCTCAAACTCATGTCCATTGAGTCGGTGGTGCCATCCAACTATCTCATCCTCTGTTGCCCCCTTCTCCTCCTGCTGAGTAATATTTCATTGTGTATATATAACACATTTTTTAAACCAATTATCTGTTTATGGGCATCTGGGTTGTTTCCATGTCTTGGCTATTATAAATAGTGCTGCTGTGAACATTGGAGTACATGTATCTTTTCAAATTAGACTTTTTGCATTTTCTGGATATATGCTCAGGAATGGGATTGTTGAATCATGTGGTAAGCCTATTTTTAGTTTTTTTAAGGAACTTCCGTTCTCTTTTCCATAGTGACTGACCAGTTTATATTCCCACCAACAGCATAGGAGGGTTCTTTTTTCTCCAGACTGTTTCCAAAATTTATTATTTGTAGACTTTTTGATGAGGGCCATTTTGACCGGTATGAGGTAGTACCTCATTACAATTCTGATTTGCATTCTCTAATGATTAGTGATGTTGAGCATCTTTTCATGTGATTGTTGGCCATCTGTATGTCTTTAGAGAAATGTCTACTTATGTCTTCTGCCCATTTTCTGATTCTTTTTTTTTCTTTATTGATCTGTATAAGCTGCTTGCATAGTTTGGAAATTACCCCCTTGTTGGTTGCATCATTTTTACACATATGCCTTTATACTGTTTCCAGGAACACATGATATGGAGAGCGTCCAATGAGATGACAGATGGTGTCTGAGCAAGTGTCTATGGAAAACAGGGGAGGCATTAATTCCACCTTCAGAGACTGGAGAAGGCTGGGTGACACCATGATCTGAGGGGTAAGAAGGGACACACCAGGTGGATGAGGGCGGTGGGGCAAAGGGAGGCAGGGCATGGTCTGCAGCGGGAACAGCACTTGCAGAGATGAGGAACAGCATGATGCTCTGGGAAGGGCAGGTGGGTTTGGTTCACCTACAAGGTCAGATGCAAGGGGAGCTGCAGGAGATGGGGCAGGGAAGGAGCCACCTGAATTGCTGCACTGAAGTTTAGATTCTCAATGCAGGTGATGGAGTCCTTGGAGGACTTTAAACTGGGAATGAGAGGGATCACATCTCCCAGTTAGAAAGGGCACCCTGGGTCTCTGTGAGGGAGGCAGCAGTGCAGGATAGGGTCAGTATCACAGACTTGCCCAGAAGGACTTCTGGCAAGCCTTTGCTGATATGGAAGAAGGACTGATAAACAGAGAAAGAGAGACAGGGTGACAGGAACATTAGAGGAGGGGACATCTTCCCCAGGAGGGAGACATAAAAGAGTAATGGCTACACGCAGCCAGCACAGTCTCCATGGATCTTGGTGCTGTTGAAGTGGTTAAGGTGCAGCTGACCCACCTTGTCCTAGTCTGCCTGTAAACATGACAATGATGTAGCACTACTACTTAACAATGGAGAGGTGGAAGGGATGGGGACCATTTTTGGAAGCCTAGGAATGAGAACAAAGTTGTAGAAAGATGAAGGTAAAGAAAGATGTCAACAGGAGGCAGGCAGCAGATGGGTACCTTTTGATGGGGAGCAGAGGGTGGCCAGGATGAAGGAATGACTGGGGATGATGAATCTCAAATGTTCTCACTTTGGCACGTTATTTCAGTGCCAGAAGACACCTGAGCATCCCTGGAGGATTTGGCCTGGCCTTGGAGAGGTGCTGAGGGCTGTCCTGAGATCTGGGAAGCTGTCCACACCGTAATTCCCAGAACCTGTGGCTGTGTGGGCTTACAGTATGCAAAAGGGACTTTGCAGATGTAATTAAATTAGGATCTTTGGATGGAGAGCTCATTTCTGATTATCTGGGCAGGCCCAAGGAAATTGCAAGAGGCTTTATGAGAGGGAGGCAAGAGGCTTTATGAGAGGGAGGCAAGAGGATCCAAGTCAAAAAGAAATGTGATGACAGAAGCAGAAGTTGGAGTGATTCTCTCTGAAGATGAAGAGGCCACGAGCCAAGGAATGCAGGTAGCCTCTAGCAGCTGGAAAAGGTGAGGAAATGGGTTCTCCTCTAGTCTCCAGAAGGAATGCAGCCCTTCACTTTAGCTCCATGGGACTCATTTTGGAATTCTGACCTCCAGTAATGGTTTAAGCCATTTAAGTTAGCTCAGGCCAGGAAGTCTGCGGTAATTTGTTAAAGCAGCAGTGGGAAACTAATACAAAGGACCACTGTGCTTGGGCCTCAGTGGGATTCCTAGAGTAGCAGCAGATAAGGGTCCCCAGGAATCCTTTGGGAGTCATGCTGGGGGCCCCCATTCCACAGTGCCTGTCTGGTCTCCCTAACTGACTGAGCGCCCCCTTCTGGAAGTCTTGAGACTGAACTAACTCCATCTCCCCTCCCCACTACCTAAACCCTTTCCTCCCATGCCCTCTGTCTGGAGACTGCACCCAAGCCAGAATGTAGGAGTCGTCCATTCATGAGCCATGGGTTCTAGCCTAACAGGTATGCAGCGTGTAGGTCGGGGGATATGAGGACTCCGTGAAGATGGGTGAGGGCGTGGTGGTGGAAGAGAGGCACCACGAGCTGGGCAGACACCAGAAGTGTCCCGGTTGACTTCCAAGCACTAGAGACATGGCCAGTGGGGTCCAGTGTGGGCCATAAGCACAGGAGACAGGTCAGAGCTGCTGAGGAAAGAGATGCCATGGCCTGTTCCCGCCATCTCACCACGGGTCTAGATGACTTCACTCCTCTTCCTTCTCTGCCTCCCATGCCCTCAGTGACAAACAAGTGGATTTTTTTTTAAATTTTATATTTTCATTTTCTTAAAAAAACCAATGATCAAAACAAGAGTGTAACCAAAACATGAGATAGGATTGCTAACAACTGTCAACTCTGGTTGGTGGGAATGTGGGTGTCAGCCAGCCTGGCTCAAGTCCATCAGGTAGACTTCACTCCAAGATCAGGGTTACGGCCACTACAGGCACCCGGGATCCTTTCCTGGCCTCTGCCCAGCCAAGAAAAGACTCAAAGAGAAAACATCCAGCTTCAGTTTTTCTTTGATATTCTGCAATTTTTTTTCTTCCCATCTTCATGTACATGGTATCATATTATATTAAACTCAATGACAAAAACCATGACTATATCCTGACGCAAAAGGACTGGATGTGGCTTTACTTTCTCTCGGATGTCAGTTTTATCTCCATAAAGCCAAACTTCTCTGGATTCTCCCATCCCAGCTCTCAGGAACAGTCACCTCCCTGGGCCCATTGACCCTGAGCAGAAGGATGGTACAGAAGAAGTTGACCGCGGGTGATGCGTGCAGAGAGGCACCAGCGCCAAAGGCCAGGTTTAAGAATGGAACCCACCAAACCGCCTCGGTGCTGGTTAGGTTTTATTTTTAACAGGATGTCTCCTCTTCATTTTTTTTTTTTTTCAAAATATCAGTTATATCAATATTAGAAGTGTAAACAGGTACAAAATATACAGTACATAGAAACAATTTTCTTAACTAGTCTATTGCCTAATAAAAGTACACACAAGGGAGCTGAATGAACAGGAGCAGTGGTCTCCCCATCCTCAGCGGGAAAGGAGATCCTGGCGGGGTCAAGGAACCAGCGTCTGCCTCAACAAAACGGGAATGGATACTCGTGTGGCAGGGACAGCGTTGGGGTGGGATCAAGAAACCTGAGCCCATTTCTAACTCTACCTTCTTTCAAGATGCCAGCCAGCCAGGGGGCAAGCAAGCCCTGCCCCGGCCCCTGGGGTGGGAGGGGAAGGAAGAGCAACCACCGGTCAGAGGCCGCGGCTCAGCTGAAGTGTGAGGCCTGACCACGTCTGGTTCGGGCAGTCAGGGGGCAAATCTTTCAAAAGGGCAGCGCGAAAAGCTGTCCTCCCCCAGACTGCCGGTCCAGGATGACCGTGCGCCGAGGCTGACCCGAGGCTCTTGCTAGCTGTCTGCACTCACTGTGCACACGGAGGCAGGGTGCGTGAGGCTGAGCTGAGTCCCCCCTCGGAGTTAACTTTCTGCCTCCTCTCTTACAGGAAAGGATGCTCCTCCGGGTGCTTCACTAGGTCACAGGAACGATCAAATGAGATTCGGAGCAGAAGCGTTTGGACAGGGAGAAGACACCACACGAGGAGAAAAGGAAGCATCCGGCTGGAACAGAGGACGGCAGCCCCCGTGGCCGGCTCTGCTCCCGCCACCCTCCACCCTGCACCCCCTGCCCCACCTCTGCAGCCCTACCGGTGTCTTCAGACAGCCCTCCATCACGAGGCCCCGAGTCACGTGCGCCCCAGGGCCATGGGGTGGCAGGCGCCCGCGGCAGGGCCGGCACTTGTGCGGGGGGCCTTTACAGGTGCTGGGAGATGCCGGGCCGCTCCGGCTCAGTCGTCCTTGCGCCCGAGCTGCGACTGGATGTCCACGGCACCCTGCTGGCCCCAGGCAGAGCCGGGTCTCCACTCCCCTGGGGCTGTGTGCGCGCTGAGACTGGCCCGTCCCCCAGGGGTCACTGGGGCCAGGGAGGTCCGAGTGCCTCCTCGCCCACATCCCCGGCCAGCCAAGCTCCCGGCGGCTCTGTCAAGACTCCGTAAGGACACAGCCCACAACACACACGCAATCCAGAAACCAAAGGTACACTGTTAAAGTTTAAACTGGTGCTACTACTATTTTCCAGCTTTGTCTTCCAAGAATTAAAAAAAAAAGTTTCGTAATTAAATTACTTAAGATTCTATGCTGCTCAGTTTCACAACCAGAGAATTCTACTGTTTAGAGGTGGAAGCTGGGCCATCTGGGAGTTTCTCCTGCTCCAGTGAACAGTTCGGCAAATGGGAATCTGGTTTCCCCTCCAGGCTCTGTCCGGCTTCGAGGCTTTGCGCACGCCGCCCGGCCGTCTGGAGAGACGATGCTTTACACAGGGGCCTGCAGGGGCCCGAGGGTTGGGCGGCCGCGCGGGGCTCAGAGGTCCCCACCGTCGGTGGGCCCCAGGACACTCAGGCCACAAGTCCAGTCGGTCACGAGGTCCGTGGGGGCCAAGGGTCCTTTGGCGGCGGGGCTCTTGAAGGGGTCGGGGGGTGCGGGTGGCAGCGGCGGCAGCGGCTGGCCGCGGGCCGGCTTGGCGCCGGCCGCGTGGTTGCGCTGGTGCTTGCGGAGGTGGTCCTTGCGGATGAAGCTCTTTCCGCACACGGCGCAGGCGAAGGGCCGCACGCCCGTGTGCGTGCGGTAGTGGTCGATGAGCTTGGAGCGCTCGGTGAAGCGCTTCTCGCACTCGGTGCAGGGGAAGGGCCGCTCGCCCGTGTGCAGCATGCGGTGCCGGATGAGGTGCGCGGGCCGCGTGAAGCAGCGGCCGCACTCGCCGCAGCGCAGGCCGCTGCCGTCCCGCGCGCCGCCCGCGGCCCCGGGCACCCCATCGGGCTGGCCCCCGCAGCTGCGCTGGTGCGCACTCAGGCTGACCTGCAACTGAAAGCTCTTCCCGCACGCGGCGCACGTGAACGGCCGCCCCCCTGGCGGTGCCGCCGGGTGCTTCTTCAGGCCTGGCTTGTGGCCGAAGCCTTTGGTCCGGCCGGGGTATTTACAGGGGTCGTTGAAGGGTCTCGGGGCCTGGCCAGGGTCCAGCACGGCCTCTCCGTTGTCGGAGGAGGAGAAGGGCAGCCCCTCGGGCCCGCTCCTCGGGTTGAGGCCCGCGGGAGGCTTACACCTGAAATTCCAGCCCCACCGGACACCCCCGAAGAGCCAGTCTCCTGGAGGGGTCTCATCCTGGGTCACTGCGGGGCTGGGATCACCCAGGTCGCGCTCGGGCCGGGTAGGCTCTCTCAGCCCCAGCACAGGGTCCTGGCTAGGGAACGAGCTGCCCTGGCTCTCCCAGGCTCCTTCCTGGACAGGACTGGGGAAGAACCTTGTGGCCTGGCCTGGTCCGAACAGTGTCCCGTGGGCTTCTAGGTCAGTAGGGTGCACTGGTGTGGCCACCACCTCTTCTTCCTGGACTTCTGTTTTTATCACAATTTTTACATCTGCTGAAAAAGACAGAAAGACCAGGTATCATTCTGTCCCCCTTCCTGCTTAGAAAGGGAAGATCTGATACTTTCATCTGGATATTCAGCCCCACTACGGCCACTCTGAGCCCTAATCTTCAAGCCTTAGGATCCAGTTCAGCAGAGGTGCCCCAGGTGGTCAGGCAACTGCCTCAAACTGTGGGTGAGGACATCATGTTCCAGAACTTTCTCTACAGGTAAAGCAACCATCATATCTGCTCACTTTGTTCTAGAGCCTTCACCACAGGTAAGGAACCATTGCATCTCCTCATTACACCCCATTATCACTTTGGCCAGTAAGGCTAATCATGAAGCTATTCCAAGGAACTGAGACCACTGGTGGGAATGCACAGAGCTGGGCTCAGGCACATCTGAGACTGGACCCTGGCTCCCCAAAGAGCAGCTGCAACTTCAGGCAAGTTCATCTGTGAATACCCTTTTCCACAGGGTTGCACGAAGATTAAACCAGGCGGCACATGTGAAAGCACTGAGCATGTTGTTTTCCATGCAGCAAGCATTCAGTAAATGTAGCCAGCTAGCTAATGATAAAAATATTCATGAAACAGTAATGTTTGATTTTACTTAAATGTACTTGAATTTCACACTTTCAAGTTTTATATCCGAGATCTAGGCTTTCAGCACAATTTTGGGGTGTTAAAATATGATAGAAATTATTGAACTAACAGCTAACTAGTTTTCAAAACAGAAGAGAAAATTAATACATAAATATGGCAGTTCTTTTGAAAAGACTCATTTGAAAAGACCCTGATGCTAGGAAAGATTGAGGGCAGGAGGAGAAGGGGACGACAGAGGATGAGTGGGTTGGATGGCATCACTGACTCGATGGACATGAGTTTGAGTAAGCTCTGGGAGTTGGTGATGGACAGGGAAGCCTGGTGTGCTGCAGTCCATGGGGTTGCAGAGTCAGACACGACTGCGCGACTGAACTGAACTGATGGCAGTTCTTTCCAATTTGAGCTGGTGGACCTCTGTCTTTGGTGGTGCTAATACCTAAGAATTGGTTCCGGTTGGGTTTGGCTTTTCCAGGCCAGAGAGGGGCCAGGATTGCTGAGTCTGGGCAAGAGGTATATATTCTCTCAAGGGATCAGCCTGTCAGGACTGACTGGTTAATAATACAAGAAAGGAACTGTGGGAAACATGGATATTCTCAAGAAAGGCTGTTCAAGTCTAAGAACTTGGAAGGAGAGAAAGGCCAGACTGCACAGAGTTCTCGCATCACTGGCCTCTAAATGCCTCCTGGCTGGCGGGTTGGGCGCCTCAGAGGCAGACGCGAGCACTTCCGATTCTCCGCGAACACTTCCAGTCCTCCCGCCATACCCCGCCATACCTTCTGTGGAGGCAGCCGTGCTGAGTTTCAGCGTCCCGTCTGAGCAGGCGGAGGAGGGGTGGTGGGGAGGGAGGTCGGCCTGCCAGGAGGTGGGCGGGATAGTGGTTGAGAAGTTGGCGTGGACGCCTGCAGTGAAGAGAGAGCAGGCGGGCGGGCGGGTGGGTCAGGGAAAGAGCAGGGAGGCAGGTGCCCAGGGACCCCACCCACGGCAGCTTTCCAGCCCGAGCATCATGGCCCCACCTCTCCTGAACCAGTTTTTGCCCCCTTCTCTGAGGCACCAGGAAATGCAGATGTCACTGACTCTTGTCATACAGCACCCCCCGGCCTTTTTTTTTTTCTTTAATTTTTTTTGGAGTATAGTTACTTTACCATGTTGTGTTAGTTCTGCTGTGTTAGCAGTGAGTCAGTTATACGTGTACACATATTCTGTCTTTTTCGGATTTCCTTCCCATTTAGGTCACCACAGATCACTGCGTAGAATTTCCTGTGCTGCACAGTACGTTCTCATTAGTTGCCTATTATACATAGTGTATACACGTCATTCCCAATCTCCCAGTTCATACCACCTCCCCGTCCCTACCCTCTTTGTTCTCTACCTCCATACAGCCCCTCTTAGGAGGCAGCTGGTGATTTAAATGCTCAGTGCTGGGGCAAGAAGAACAGGGGGGTGCCTGGTGAGAGTGAAGCAGAGAAATACCAGGACAAGAGCATCTCGGAGCCAAGAGGGACTCGCAAGATGTCATCTGGAGCAACCCCTGCCATGAGGTGGGGAACCTAAACTAGTCAGGCTAGATGTTCCAGAGCCCGCAGCCCTGCCGCGGTGCTTCCAGGAACTCCTCCTCCCCGACCTTGCCCTCAGTCTCTACATCTGGTTTCCGTTGTCTGCTCACAGCCTCAGCCACTCACCAGAGGCAGCATCGGTAGAGACGTCTCCTGTTCCGGAGTCGAGCTGGCTGAGGCCCCATGGCTCCTCCCCAATATCTGGCTGTCCGGCTGCCCATGCCTCCACACCCAGAGCCTGCTGCTCCTGGAGCTGGAGCTCACCTTCTTGCTTGATCTGCATTAAGAGGTCAGGGGCAGGAACTGGGGGCCCTGAGCCTGAGAAAACAGAGAATGCGTGAGCGACAGCATCAGCAGCCCTGGGGTGGACACACTTCCAGCCCAGGAAAGGCACACGGGGCCTTGCAAAAGTCAAAGAGCCTGGTGGGAAGGGAAGGCAGGAGCTCAAAGAGGAACTGCAGGGCCTTCCAGGCAAAGCACAAGGTCACATGGTATGGAGTGCATGGGTCAGGCAGGGAGACAGAACACATGCTCAGGGCTGGACCTCTGGTCCATGAGCAAGGCTAAACTGCACCAGGGAGCTCCTGTTCTCATTTTAAACACACATAAAATTTACTCCCTGTCCCCACAACCTTACCCATACACTTGTACTTAACGCGAGCACAAGAGAAAGAGTCCAGATATATAAGAGTCAAAGGAAGAACACAAAGTCAAACAAAGAGTTTGAGCGAGAAGCCAACTAGAGTTGCTGAAACAGGATGCAGGCTTTAGGGGCTGGGCTTTCATGTCCAAGTGAGGAGACAGCAGGACTGAGCTGCCTGCATCATCTGGCAGCCATGAGGCTCTGTCCTGTTGGGGAGATGGGGACTAAGACCATCTACGAGGAAAGGCAAGCTATGAGGAAGCTGCCTTTTGTCCAGGGCCATGGGTAGGCAAGCCATCCAGAAGAAATTTTTAAAAATTAGAAACTTCATACTACCCATACGGTGCAGAAGCCCTGAGTTGAGAAATTCACAGAAAAGTTGGCTAAAAACCATGGCAACCTAAGAGAAATCCAAACCAAGGCAAATGCAAACCTGCCCATTAGGGCATCCCCACAGGGAAGGCCTTCCGGGGCCCCTACTCAAAGACTAAACCTACAAACCAGAAGTGGAGCCAGCTGGCACGAGAGCCACAGAGAGAGTGAGCAGAACTCACTCCCACAAACTACAGGAAAAAAAGAATAGATAGAAGGATACAATAGCATATGTATGTTTAAAACAGTCAAAGAAATGAAGGAAGACTCTCTAAGGCAAGGACAGGAAATTATTTTTAAAAAGGCAGATTTGAAAGAGAACCATACAGACATTCCAGAAATGACAAAAGCAGTCACGTGTATGAAAAACTCAATGGCTGGCTTAACAACAAAATGAACACAGTTGCAGAGAAACTTAGTGACTCAGAAGATGGAACTGGGGAAACAGTCCAGAGCACAACACTGAGAGATAAAGAGATAATATCTTCTGTAAGAAGAAAATATCTTCAAAGTGCTAAGGGAAAATTGCTTTCAACTCATTTTACGAGGCTAGTATAATTTTCATTGCACAATTTATACTAGAGAAACAATTTATAAAATCATTTATGAACAGATACGCAAAGATCCTAAATGAAAGAATTACAAATCAAGCCCAGTAATATGTTTTCTTTCTTTTTTTTTTTAAAACCTCCCACCCCAAGTCCAGTGATATGTTTTCAAAAAATAAAACAAGACAATACATTAAGAACAAACTGGATTTATCCTGAGAACTCAAGGAGAAGCTACTCCTGAAAAATGCAGTAACACAACTCATAAACAGATTAATGGAGAAAACCATACAGTCATTTCAACGGACACAGAGGCAACACTCACCTCTAATGTTTCTGTCTGACTGGTTAGCTGTGCAGAGGAACTCTTCTCAGTATGCAATATCAAAAATGATGGGTAAAGTGTAAAACCCCCAAAGTTTTTAAGCATGGATGACCTCTAAGAAAGCCTAGGTCAACCATGGTAAATTGCCAGGCGTTTCCCACCCTCTGCTGGGCTGTGATGGACTGGGCCCACCTGTGAGAAGCCTGGGGCTCAAGCAGGATGGGAGGTTGGGCTGGAGACCCCTCACCACCACCACACACATAAACCTGGGCCCAAAAGGCAACATCCCCAGTGCACTAAAAAAGGTGAAAACCTGCCCTGTGGAAGGAGCCTGCCCATTCTGGCCTTTGGTCTTGGCTGAATGGGAAGAACAGCCTCCCCAGGAGTTGACACAGCCCAGGTGGGTGCTCAAGGGTTTCTGGTGCTGGGCCTCACACGACAGCGTGGCCCCAAAACCTCGAGGCCAAGACTGTAGTGACCTGATGACCAGCTGAGGCAGACAAAGATTCTTAGGACAGCATTTTAAATAGCTCTCAGGCATTAAAGAACCCCCAAATATAAACCACCACCTCAACAGGAAAACCAGTCCCCTCAGCCCATCAGAAATCATTAGCTGCAGAATACAAACCACAAAGACTGGACATGAAAAACCTCATACACAGAATCTGAAGTTTAATACACTCACAGAAATAAATAGGGGGAGCGAGAGTGTAATGAATAAGGGATGGATAAACAGCTGTAACATAAAATAATTGAGATTTATAAACCCAACCTGGAGGTTAAACAACAGAACGGAAATGACTGGATAGAGCGAGGTGAACCAACTAGAAGAAAAGATCAGAAGAGATGTTTCAGAGCTCAGTGAAGGGACGGAGAGGAAGATGGGAAGAGGTCAAAGTTATGAAGGGATGTGAACGGTTCCAGAATAGGAAAGCAGAGGAATGGGGCCAGGCAGTATTCACAAAGACAGTGCTGCAAAACTTCCCAATTTGTTGAAAAATATCAGTGATTGGAGCAGGATAAAGAAAGAAAAATTCACACCTAGATACTCTAGTGAAACTGCAGATCACCAAGACTGACATCCAAAAGGCAGGGGAAAAAAGATTACCCGCAAGAATATTGGCTAGCAAATCATCTTCAAAGGGCTAAGAGAAGCTAACAGTCAAACTAGAATTACGTCCTTCAAATGTAGAAATGGAAGAAGGACATTTTCAGGCACATATAAACACGTATACAAACCCACACAACAGTTTTTATCATCACCAGATCCACACACACTCAAATAACAAGTGTGTATTTTAGAAGATAAACATCTCCAGATTATTTCTAAAAGAATAGAAACAATACATAACTTCCAAACTAATTAAAAATAATACAAGGTCCTATAACTATTAAAGAATTTATATAGATAAAAATCTCCCCTAGAAAGAAAAACATTCAAAGAATAGATAACTCCAATATTACACAAACTCTATGAGCAAATTAAAAAAAGAAGGAATGCATCATAACTTTTATCTTTAATATCAAAACCAGACAAAGCCAGTCCGACAAAGGAAAAGTACAGGCCAGGCTCACTCATGAAGAAAGATTCCGAAATTCTAAACAAAATACTTAGCATATTAAGTCTAGCACTGTTTATAGAGGATCATGAGTAATTTAGACTTTTCCCCAAGGTTGCAAGGTTGGTTCAACATTAGAAAAATAATGTAATTTACCATTCTAGGTTAAAGAAGAAGAATCATATAATTGTCTCTCTTTGCGACCCCATGGATTGTAGCCTGTCAGGCTCTTCTGTCCATGGAATTCTCCAGGCAAGAGTACTGGAGTGGGTAACAGTTCCCTTCTCCAAGGGATCTTCCCAACCCAGGGATCAAACCTAGGTCTCTTGCATTGCAGGCAGATTTTTTTACCATCTGAGCCACCAGGGAAGCCTGTAATCGTCTCAATAGATACCAAAACAGCATTCCATAAAAATTCAACAGCTATTCTTGTTAGAAATATCTAGTCAACCAGAAACAGAGAAAACTCTTTTAGCCTGATAAATGACACTGATCAACAAAACCTTTAACAAATATTAGACTCAGTGTGAAAAATCAAAAAGCATCTTCTCTAACATCATGAACCAAATGGACACCTGTTGTCATTACTTCTGTATAAGAATTTTCTGGGAGTTCTCAGCCAGCACAATAAAACAAGAGAAAACTAAACATAAGGGTTTGAAAACAAACAAAAAATTAATATTACTCATAGGGGATATGATGATCTTTTTAGAAAACCTGAGAATCACCAGATAATTATTAGAAATGTTATTAGGACTAATGAGAATTTAAGCAAAGTTCTTAGAAATATCAATAAATATCATTTTCGTTTACTCCTAGGGTTTTAAGGGAGCACAGCAATCACCATTTTTCTTCCCTGTCATGGATCTTAACAATCAGAGAACTAAAACCCAAGAGGAAGCTGGTGAGGATAAACTCTTCTTATAACTGATAAACTGGGATGCAGCTTTTATCTGTGGCAAGAGGGGTCCTCAGTACTGACCCTGGATCAGGAAGTCACCTAGTGGACCATGGTGAAGGAGGCTTTCCCCAGTACAGCAGCATGTCCCTGGGGGCGGCCTGCTGCCCAAGGGAAGAAGGGTGGGCAGGGACTGTGCATGTCCAAGTCCTGCTCCCAAACTCCCCGACAAGGTGCATCCCTGGTGGGATGCCTAACTGTGTGGGAGACAGTGAAATGTTACATAACCGAGCCCTGTCAGGGGAGAAAAAGCACTGGGAGAGGGTGCTCCCTTACCCCACGACCCCAGCACACACCAGCAACAAACAGAAAATGCACCTTAAAAAAGGCACCACTGACAACAGCGATTCAAAACATGCCAAGAATGGAAGAATAGAAGATATAACGAAAAAACGTTATAAAACTTTGCTGAGATGTTACAGATGAGCTGCATGGAGGGACTTAACAATCTTCACAAATAAAACCCTTAATGTAGTAAAAAGGTCAGTTCTCTCCAAAATGATTAATAGAATGAGTGCAGTTCCAATCACAATCCCAAATGGATTTTTCATGGAATTTGAAAAGGCAATAGGACGTTTACCTGAAAGGACAAAGGAAGCCCAGAGTGCCAGTGAAAAAGTACCAGGGTTCCAACCTCCTGTGGCCATAAAAGTCTGTTCTGGATGGATTAAGAACTTGACCATGAAAGGCAACATTTTAGAAGAAAAATAAGATGGTGTATTTTGACCATGAGGTAGGGGAAATTTTCTTAAGACATAAAAAGGACAAACTGTAAAGGTTAAAAATCAGAAAGTCCAGGTATGTTAAAATAAAAAGCATCTGTTCTTCAAAGTGAAAGTGAAGTCTCTGAGTTGTGTCTGACTCTTTGTGACCCCATGGACTGTAGCCTACCAGGCTCCTCTGTCCATGGGAT